GTTAACACTTAAAAAACTGAAAGAAGAAAAAGACAGAAGTGGGAACTATTTCCCAGAATGCTTAGCGGCGTGTTTCTGTCTCCTGAGATGGAAGTGTGTTACGTTGATCTGTTCACACTAAATGTTTCTGAGCTGAATTCATTCAGATGTTTCATAAAATTCATCATCAGGTCAGAAATTTGGTTCCTGCAATTTGAAACAAGAATTTAAATTATTCTACAGTAAAATAAATAGTTATTTTAACTTGATATTGTGAGTAAAATAACAGAGAAATGTGGCTCTTTAACTGGGTGAGGACAGTTTTTTTTCTTGCATTTTGTGAAATAATTATTTGGTTTAAATTGCAGCATTAAGTTAAAACTCTCAGTTAAAGATTAATGAACTTAAACAACATTTAGACAATTTGTCTCTTGTTAAAAATCAACTTCATGAACTTTAATTTCTCAGTTAAACCCAATTAACTCTTGTTGACTTAAATTGGTGGAATTTCATTTTCAAGCTAAACCACCATCAAATGTTTTACAGTGTATGATGGGATGTTGGCGTATCTAAGTTAAAAAATATAGTTTCCAATCTAATGACAAGAAAAATTAATCTAAGGATTAAAACTATTATGAATAATAATAAGAATATAACTTAGTGTCACTCTGTTGTAAATGTCCAATGCAATTATTCCTTGAAAAAACTACTAGAATATTCATTTGTTAATATATTTATGTTAAAAACTTCACTTGGTTCTTTAAAATGTTTAGTTAGAGTTCTAAAGGGCCATTGTGGAAGGTCCAAAGAGCCACTTGTGGCTCCGGAGCCGCAGGTTGTAGACCCCTGACATAGATTTACAAAGACTTGCAGGTATAATTGCATCAAAAAGTGATTCTACAAAGTACTGACTCAGGGTGAGTTGAATTTAAAGGCATGCCGCACTTTTCAGATGCATCTTTGTGAAGCGATTTTAATATCGTCTTTTCACAACTGTACATTATTCTTTGTATTGGTCTATCATGCAAAGTCCTTATAAAGTTTGTGCGTTTAAAGTGACAGAATATAGAAAAACGCAGTGGAGATGAACAGTTTTAGCATTAATTTTAAGGTTTAATCGGAGGTGCCAAAATATTTTTCCATGTCTGTGAATGCCAATAAAAGACTCACTTGATAATGTTTGAATTATCTGTCACTCCGGTTGTGAGCGGGGATGTATTTTCATTCATCCTGTTGAATGTAAGAAGATTTCAGAAACAGAACATGACCAGCAAAAAACATGCATCTGCTAAGATATCTTAGCTTGGTTTGTGTTAAAATTATGCGTAAAAATTAGGGGCTGGAGTTTTCTGGCCAATCTTTAAAAAGCATAACATACCGATACCAATTGTGACCCATATCCAATACTGGTATTTTTGTCTGAAATGTTGCTAGAAAGTTGCTCATTTGGTTACAGTGGGGTGATTATTAACTGGAAACCTGCAGACGTGACCTGGTGGGACGAACTTCTCTCATGGCAGAAAAAAAGAGAAGATTTTTAGACTTTTACCAAGGAAGCTAAGACTGTTGGATAACATCAGCTTCACAGGTAAGTATTGTCTGATCACAGGTCTTCCAAAATGAAGGAAATCAGGGCTGATTTATTGGTGCACCTCTAATAGAAATGTAAGTTATATCAATGTATTCTCTTGTCTTCAAGGAGAAAGAGAGATCATCCAGGTACCGTACCTTCTCCTGCTCCACACCAGGTGCTCATTGTAGGTAAATCTGTCCTCAGTGGGGCTGTCCTTATTTATGTCCAGCTGTGACGTCTTCTCAACTATGTTTTCCTTATGTAGACCCAGAAGAGACGCAGGCCGGCTGCTGTCTCTCTGCAGAACGCCCATCGCCTCCCAGTCCAGAAAGACGTCAGCGGGCGGAGAAGGAGGGTTTGTGATCTCGGACTCAGCAGAGAGCTGCTTTAGGAGCCGGAGCCGTGAGAAGTCTTTGGTCTGGTAGTGGTTGTAAACTTGGGGGCCGGCTGTGACTCCCCAAGTGTCGGGAACAGGGACCGAGTCGGCAAAAAGGATCCTGAACTCTCGGTCAAACGAGTCGATAACCGGTCCCCTCAGGACTGTGACAAGCTGCCGGTGAAGATGAGCGCCTGTCCAGGTAAGGCTGGAGGCAAAACAGAAGAAATATCCGGTTAGTTGGCTTACAGAAAAAAATGTGTAAGATGCTTTGAAAATGACATTTTTGTTCACCTGTAGTTGCCATGAATCGCTGCCTCTAAATCCACCAGGATGAAATTGTCTTTCATTTCTCCAGCCACCATCTTCCCAGTCCTGGAGCAAAACGTTTTCCCTCCAAGAACCCGAACCCGCATGTACTGACAGAGAGAAAAAAATAAAATAAAGTCAAACTGAAGCTGAAAGAAACTGAGAGCTGCTCTATAGGAGGTCTTTAGGTTCTTCCTGCTAATGGAGAGTTTTTCCTCTCCACTGTCACCACATGCAGGCTCAGCATGAGGGATTTCTGGAATCTCAACAACACAACGTAAGCAGTCGTCTAAAGTTTCTTTAGCCAAGCTGAACCTGATTGCACTGTTTGATAATTAGCATCAATTAGATTTTATGTATCACTGGAACAAATTAACAGCTTAGAACAGCCTGTTGGTGTTTTGTCTGCCACATCAAATCGTTTTCTGTGGAAATCATTAAAACAATATCTGGCTGTTATTTTTAATTTTACTTGTTCACCACATTCTGATTTATAAACAAAAAGTAAAGACAATAATGTACAAACAATTATCAAAAAACAGTCCATTATCAATACGGCTTTCATTATAGATATGAAGTTAACTTAAACAGAAATAAGTTTGAATTATTTATCATTATTTAAAATGCCTATTGAGTTATTAATTAAAAAACCCCAAAATGTTTCTAAATTTATGTTATTTCAATGTTTTTCTGTTCTTAAATGATCAAATGATGTGATGTAAACTGACGTTGTACAAATAAACTGACTTGAAACTGAAATTGGTTACGTTCGTCTCTCTCAACCTGATTGTTTTTGATCATAAAACATTGCGAGCCGACAAGAAGGATTAAATTACGGGCAGAACAGAAGAGGAAGATCGAAGCTTGGAAACAATCCAAAGCACCCGGCTGAAACGTTTCTGAAGAAGAGCAAACCGAAAACGTAAATGAAAAAATAAAGATAAAGGGCTGAGCCAACTTTAACCCAGCAGAACGACGCTGTGTTGACAAGAGGAGAGGAAACGCGACACGCAGCTCACCCACCAGCAGAGCATCTCTGGCTCAAAGCAGACGGAAAAATGCATATCATTCAGTTCAGGCAGGCCGGGAAGTTTGAAGAAAGCGTCTCTGAAGATAATTAAATATTCTAAAAGGGGAAAACACTTAGCAATTACCTCTTTTATTATAAAATATTAACGTAAAGAAATATTTTGACTCTTCTCAAAACTAAAAACAAATCAAAGCTTTTTTTTGTAATTGCTGAACAGTTTTGTTTTGTTCTTTTTGATTATTTATCTCTAGTGATGAGCTTCATGCTAATCTTTGAGTTATTTATTTCAAACAAGAAAACAAACAAAGGAAATGTGTATAACCAAGACCAAAATAATTAGCTTACACTACTTTACACTTATTTAATCCTACCCCTTATCTCAATTTCATAAAACATATTACTTACTGATGCATTAATTATCAAAAATGTGTAATTAAAACCATGTTAATGTGCCAAGAAGCCAAAAAATGAACTATATTACAAAGACTAAATGATTACAAACTAATTCAAAACAAGACAAGATAATTTATTGAAACATAATAAAGGCCTGGACAGATTCTCCAAAATACGAATGTTATTATCCAATATGCAGAAAAAAACATCTAAATCTGCCAGGGGTATGAATATTTATGGCTCAACTAAATTTAGTCTGAGATTGAAAAGTGTCTTTAAACTAAGAAAACTAAAAATAAGTCAGTAGAAATAGGAGCCTGATGATTAAATTAAATTTAGTATTTTGTTTGTTTGAGCATTTGTATTCAGTTTTATAAATAGACTTTTAGTTCTGTTTTTCTTCAACCATAACGTCGTTTCACACCTGCATGTGTTTAGACCTGTTACTTCAATGACTTATTTAAACAAACAGACAAACCAGAAAGTTCAGAGTAAGTCAAGAAAAATGAAAGAATATCCACTGGTCCAAAACAAGACAAATGCAGGAGCCAGACTGTGAAGTTAAACAGGATTTGAGAAAGAGAAACTTAACGCATCAATAGACATTTAGTCATTAGGAAGTCCAGACTATTACTAAGACTATGTAAATGAGTTGAGTAAGCTTCATTTGTAAAACCACAGTCAGGTTTTATATCTAACATGTCACATGTATAAAAGGAAGAACTTGGTCTTGGTACTTTTATGTGGAAAAAGTGAATAAACTCTTAACAATATCATATTTAAATATCACATGTGTAGTTTATTTGTCGAGAACAGAAGCAGTTAAGAGTTTAACAATACAATTATTTCTGTATTTTTAGTAAGCAGATAGCTTCAGGACCATTTTTGTGACCCAATAGTGTTTCAACTTGCTCAGAAATGTCAAACTCCAGTCCTCAAGGATCTGTGTCCTGCAGTTTTTAGATGTGCCACCAGGGGCGCACCTACATATTATTCAGGTGGATGCGAAAACATAAATCGCCCCCCCCCAACGAAAACACGTGTAAGGTAAAACTCGCTACATTTACATTTAAGTCTGCGCGGGGTGAAGGAGTGTAAGGGCGCGGTGAAGTGTATGCGAAGGCATCATCGGGGCGCCGCCCCCTCCAGACGGGGTTTTGACGCCCCCTCTGGTGCAGCGCCCCTACGCGGCCCTTGAGGACTGGAGTTTGACACCCCTGACTCTGTCTACGTGGTAATTGCTTGGACACCGTTGAAAACTGTAAAGAACCGAATGTAGGGTTCAGGATCACCTTCCAGGAGGAAAACAACATAGAGTGAAAGTTACAGGAGAATGGCTTAGAAAAAAGTGTTTTCATGCCTTAGAATGGCCTAGTCAAAGTCAAGGACCTAAATCCAGTTGGGGAAATTGGCTACCCCAGATTTTATTTCAAAGTATCAGCGTAAAGATGGCTGAATACGAATTCACCAATTTTCAGATTATTATTTGTAAAACTAAACTTTGAATCACCTTTTTTTTTTTTTTTTACCTTTTTGTTGGCTTTCGGTGTCAAATTTAAATCAAATATCTTGCAGAAAATGTGGTTAAGTTCAACCTTGGCAAAACGCTGTATGTGTACAGCTATTATAGCATTTATGTACTCTAAAAGTCAGTCACTGAGTCGGTGGAAAACACTGATCATCTAAGGCACACTGCCCTGAATGTTTTAGGTATTTCCCTGCTTCAACACACATGATTTCAATTGATGGCTGATTAACAAGCTTTTTCTGAACTGCAATCATTTAAATAGGGAAACATCTATGCATGGCAGTGTGCCTTGAGGACCAGGCTTGGGAAACACCGCCTTAGACTGCAAGTCCAGTCACCATCAACAGCGAAGATTATCCTTTTCATTTTATCAGACCATATTTTCGTCACTCCAAAGAAACGGAGACAGAAATGAATGCAGTGCAACCAGCTAAACCACACGCGGGTAAATCAACATTTCACATTCCCAGTACAAGCGTGCCTATACGCAACAAGTCACACATGCAATCCTAGGGCCGTGTCCGGCGCGGCTTTCATTGCGCCGTGAAGTTCACGTATCGAACAACAATGGCCATGTGTTCGGTGTTGACTCACGGGATGCCTAAGCCTGTTGAGGGTGAAGTTCTGCTGCAGAGACCTTTGGTTCAGGATGATGTAGACGGGCACACCTCGGGAGGCGGCCGTGTGCAAGTCAAATATTATCGCGTTGTCTGTCAGCTGGTCCGTCACCACGGCGATTACCTGCAAAACACACAGCAGGGTTTCAGAAACCACAACACACTGCCTCTATGTTGATATTAACCCTTCAATGCACGAATAGGATCCTTTGTGTCAGGATTTTTTTCCCTTTTCTTTTTTAAATTTCTTAAGGCATAAAAAAGGTAGGACATTTTTTTTATTTAAATGTTTTTAGGTGATCAATTGTAATTTTCTCCAAATACAAAGCTGTTATTTGAAAAATACATCAGCAGTATTGTTCTTTAGGGCTTATGTGATGTCACAATATTTAGTTTTTTACCTGCAAGAGTCGTCTAGAGTAGGAGAGACCGGGTAGGTTGACATGCTGTCGGCCATATTGGATTTAACAAAACTAAATTCTTGCATTTACAGCTAATAGCCAGTAGTTGATGGTGTATTTTATGATGCAATAGTGTCCACTTTAGTGGTCTGTGTGCATTTATAACATAAAAATCCACAGAAGCACAAGAAAATAGCTTTTAGGAAGCTGTCCACTGTAGTGACCGACATGCATGAAAAGGTTAAATGTCGGCATCAGATGCTTGTTAGTGAGTTTAGCTACTATTTTAAAGAAATGCTTCTCACTGTGGGAATGTTTGTTTCCTTTGTGTTTTGGGGTGAGAGGTTAGAAGATGTAAAACTTTCCCTTTTTTTGCAATCTTTGGATTTACTTTACTTTTGTAGATTGCCTTCTGTCTTTTAGATGAAATGTATGGAAATTGCTGCATTTATTTTGTCTAATTTTCATGCGCCATGCAAATATGACTTCGATTTAAGCTCCGTGAATTAATGCAAACGCACTTTGATTGAGTTAAAACGTGTCTAAAAGTGTAAACTTCAACTTTCATTATGTAAAAAGAAATTTAGATAAAATCATTTTGGAAAGTTTTATTTTAAAGTTTAGAGTTTTCTCCCATCTTTAAAGCTGCAGTATTTATTTATTTATTTATTTATTTATTTTTTTACATATTTGTTAAAACTATCTTTTTGCAGCATAATATGAGACAGACAATCTGTGATAACACTGAGCTCCTCTACCTTCTTCCCCATGTGGTCTTACTGTTTGCAGCTATAACTGTCACCCTCAAAATGCTTACATGTTGACACCAGAGTCATTATGACAGTTTAGGGCTTAAATAGTAAAAAATTAACCCAAACGGAACCATATTTACTCCCATGATGCTTTGTTTTCAGAATAACATTCACATACCATTTTGGCTGCTTGTAAGTGTCGCCTGATGACCTCTCTGATTTGCAGGTCTCCCTCAGCAGGATGGCTGGAGTGGACTGTGACGCTGTTCTTCGGAACCCCAGCGGGTTTCTCCGGCCAGCCGAGCTCCAGGTTGGGGACCGGGACGTCCCATTGGTAGGGGTCATAGGTGGAGCAGATCTTCTCCGAGTCGACGCTCCTATCGGCTCCGTTCTGGTCTCCCACCAGCGGCTCGTGGAAGTGATAATTCTGAGCCCAGCTGCTTATCCGACTCACCTCTTCAGGAGATAAGAAGTAGCTTGAAAGGTCCGGGCCGATGGAGCTGTAGAAGGCCTCGGGTCCGCTGTCGAGGAGCCTCTCCATGGCTTCGCGCTCTCGCTCAGAGTGGAAGAACTGAGGCGAGGTCTCGTCCACCGGCAGGAAAACCACATTCTCATTCAGACTCTGCTCCTGGGAGTTCGACATGATTCCAGATGATGCCTTCACTGTCCCTTCAAATCATTTCCACCTTGTAGAGAAAATCTGGTCTTCCTGTTCACAAAAGGTCATGCTACGTCCAGGCTGTCAATAAATGTCCAGGCTCAGTCATCCAGTATTGAGGTCTTCACTTGTGTGAATTTTACAATCTGTCCAGAGGGCGTCGGATATCTCAGTCTCCACGGTTCCTCTTCAGATGAAGGAAAAACATTAACCACATTTTACAATCTCCAGCAGCTCCGTCTCCATAAACAGAGGAGCAGAAACATCCGCGAGTCCAAATGACAAGTAAAAAAGACTTGCAGCATTCCTCCTCACCTGCTGTGCTGCTCTGGGTGTAAGAGCTGAAGTGCTGCCGGTGAGCTTGTGTTTCGTCACCAGTCCCTCCCCTTGGGTGAGTTTGATCGCACTCCTGAAACTCCTCCACTCCTTCCTGCTGACATTGTTCTCAGATTCCAGACATTCAGTGCAGCTGACACATGGCTTCGCGGTGTGAGACACCCTGTCATCGCCCAATCCCTTCAGTCTCCACAGCAATGCAAATACGTTTCATGTCATTCAGACTTTTTCACATTTTGCACAACTCTTCAGTGGAGTTCATGGGGTTTTATGGAAAAGATCAACACAAATGGGCACATCATTGTGAATTGGAAGAAGGTTTTTAATTACTTTTTCTTGCACATAAGATTCTGAAAAGTTTGGAATTCCTTTTGCATTTAACTTTTTTCAGACTGATATTCAGTTTTACACCCAAACTGACAGACTGAGCCCAGAAATGTGCTGAGATTCACAGGTGGGAGAATCTGTTGAGATGATAATCATTTGCTCCTTAGTGCCTGACTTAATATCATGTAGATTAACAATAGATATTTATTGTTCATTTGAATGACACACCTACAGAATGATGCACCCAATTCGCATCATTAGGTATGATGCGAATTAACCACATTAGGCACATACTGTAAACATTCATCCATCCAATGTGTGCATTCATGTCTAGCGGTGCAGGGCTGCATGGAGGGCTGTACTATCTCTTCAGCGGTCGTTTTTGCACCCTGGACACTCTGCAAAGCCATCAGAGAGCAACATAGAGACACACAGAACAAGCAGCCATACACAGTCCCTTCTTAAGGCAATTTAGAGTGATTAAATAACATGTTTTGGACCTGTGGAGTATGTCACATATGCAGGGGGAGAACATGCAAACTCCATGCAGAAAGAAACAACATGGATTCAAACCAACAACCTTCTTCAACAAAATCCCTTTCCTGCACAATCGCAGAGGCTGCTATTCCATTGCAATTAAAAAAACAGTTATAAATTGTTTTTGAATAATCACTTTGCTTCACACTCCCAGGTACAGGTATCACCTTTATTCATCAAGGAAAAAAAATGCTCAACTGTTAACTAGTTCACATTCCAGCCAGTAGGTGGTGACAAAACTCCTATTGGGATCCTGGGAAGAGGAAACATAAGGTTCTTAGTTGGCGTTTGTGATCTACACCTTGAGTCAGAACCAGTTTGATGCAAATTTTCAACTCTTGTCCGAAAGGGGTTTGTCCTGCACTCTACAAATTATGAGATGTCCCATGTAGCGTTTTCCTTGGAGCTATGTAGGAAACACAGCAAACAATCGTGACAAACAATCTGGTCAGCACTGATGGTAAGACGGATTGAGTTTAATGCAGGGTATTAAACTGATGCTGCACAAGACTTCCCTGGGAGGAGGTTGACTTTCCACCAAGAGGTCACCAGTAAACACACGACCAGAGAACTAATAAAAAACATAAGTATTAGATTGGCTCAAAGCCCAGACGTATATCAATCAGACTTAAAACTTGATGTTCAAAGAGGCGCTCCTTCAAATCTGACCAAGCTTGATCTGTTTTGAAAAGAAGATTAAGCAAAAGATTCAGTCCCAAGTTGTGCAAAGCTGGTAGAGATGTACAGACTTGCAAGTGTAATTACAGTGAAAGACCGAAGCTTAATACAAATACATGACGTGTAATTTTCCTTTTGTTTCATTGATGCGCTTTGTCTTGATTTCTCACTCAAAAGCCTTTAAAGCACATTTATGTTTGTGGCTATAGTGTCACAAAAATGTCTAAATAATTTTATGAGACATTTTTTTAGAGAATACTGCGTTGGATGTTTGGTTTCTGCTGGTTTCTCCCTCCACCTCTCCTAGAGGTGTGTGAGGTTTGAACAATATTTCCAGGTATCTGACGTTCACCTCACAGTTATCCTTTCAGACTGGTTCGGCCTGACGGATGGGTTAACAGGCAACATTTTACCTGGTAACTGTTGCGAGGCAGCCTTCCTCTCTGCAGGCAACAGGTGCAACCACATCGCTTTCTTTTTGATTTAGTAGGAAATACTTATTACACCAAACCCATGCAAAGGCCATTTATGGCAAGTTGCTTCCTTATTTGTCCCCAGTCAGTTCTGCAGAAAAATGGTGAGGCCACAGTTTGACAAGATAAACAATGAAAGCCACGAATGAGCTACAGATTAAAACTCAAAGAGAAAGAGTCTCGTACAGCTGCTTAGTGCCATATTCTTGCACAAAATGAATCCAAATGCAAATTTTAGTCCCATTAACACAGAAACCCTCTCCAGTAAAGGAGAGATCTCTCAACGATGTGCTTCTTTGAAAATATTAAAATAAGCAATGTGAGTGCTTCAAAATGATCCCAAACAATGATTAAAAACAGGTTATGAGTTTATTCTTTTCTTTCATAATTCTTCATATTACACAACAAGCTTAGAGCTCAAATAATTTCTGAGATGCTATCAAGATAATTTCACCATACAGGAGAAAAAAAGAAAATAAAATGCGTCACTCCTGGATATTAAACCTCGTTCTATTTAAAGATTCTCTGAAAACAGCTCCCTCTATGTATTTATCTCTTCTTGCCTCACTGCTTCTTTCGCAGATGGACGTACAGGACTCCACTGACGAGAAGCAGAGGGACGCACAGCCACGCCAGGATGACGCAGAAGCCAAAGCGTCCATTGCTTGGATCTTTGGAGTTACTTAGAATCTCCTTTCTGTGGAAGGTGAAGATGAGGCAAGCGGCAAAGTCTGTAAAACCTGCAAGAATAAAAAAACCCCGTCATATTTACTGACACGCTACAGAATCTACCACAGCGCCTGAATCCAACACTAATGATCTGGCTGCAACAATGGTCATTTAATTCAGCATTTGATAAAACTTAAGATTATAAAGATAATGTTAAAAAGGTAATGTGGCTCAAATGTTAAAGTCTTTAATCATGACGCGTATGATAAATGATTTCAGGTAGTTTGCCCAGCTTTAATGTGACGTAAATTATTTGCAAAGCCAACAAATCTTTGGGATAAAGGTGTAACAACCTGATTGCATAAGTGTGTACGCCCTTAAACTAATAATATGTGGAAGCACCTTTTGATTCATTCGGTCTTCTTTGTTGACTTGGTAATATTTACCAATTCTGCTTCAAAGTTTCTCCACATATCAGATTGAGAGGAGTTTGAGTTCATCAGACAGCTAAGCTTGGCTTGTAGCTTATCTTTAGACGAAACTCTATCCTTAATCCAGAGAATACAGGCGACTAATGTCACAAAATACAGACAAAAACTCCTTCATCTGTTTATTTTTATTGTTCATGCACTCAGTGACGTACTTTATGATTCTTATCTCCAAATCGTGATAGATATAACTAGCAGGAAATTTACTTGTTTTGCTGTAAACCTCCCTGACCAGTTTCCATCCTTTCCTTGTATCAGTTTTAGAGAAACATTCTGTCTTAGCAGTTTTGATTAATATCTTTTTCAATCACCAATAACTTAGTCTTCACTGTATCATGGTTCACATATTTACATCGTATTGCCAAATGCTTTTGCTCATCTGCCTTCAGACACATTTACCAAATTCAGTTTGTTTAAAAGTGTGGTCTGGAATATTTCTTAGCTATTTTTCCAGAGGTCAGACACTGATGTTGGATGAGACATCTTGGCTCTCATCCGATACACCAGGCCAGTCAAATTCTTCTATGGGGAAATTTTTCTGCCATAATTTGACTGCACACATTTTCAGTTTGAAAGCAGGACTTCATGTCTTTCTTCTCAAAACTTGTAATGCTTGTACTCAAAACTTCTGCTCTCTTTCAAATATTTTCTGTGCTTTCTTGGACCTTTCTCCTCATGCTCAAACCCTGTCTCCGCTCGGATCAAACCTTTCTGCTCGGATCAAACCTTTCTGCACGCATGCAAATTCTTTTCTGCTCTTTCGGAACCAAAAGTACCGTCGCCTGGCAACCTCTCAGCCAATAGAATGAAAGTGTTGTACTAGGCGCGTTTGTTTCCTTCCAGCTTGGTGCCTGACAATATCTGTGCTCTCGACTTGCGGCAGTAAAATTCCCCCATATTCTTCCACACCAATATCATGTCTTTATAGACATTTCTTTATGAACTTGTGCGCTGTCATTTTAAAACAACAGAAGGCAAATTGTTTCTACAAAGTTGGAACAATGGGATTGATTAAAATACCTAAGTAAGTGTGCAATGAAAACATGTAGAGAGGAGTCTGGGTACTTGTAAGGGATATGGATATTTCTCCAAGTGCCTGTTTAAAAGTAAAAAACTTTTTTGAGCTTTATATCATAATATTGATATAACATAGGAGCCAGGTGTGGTGAAACAGGAAGACAGCTAAAAGCTGCAGGATTGAAATTTGACACAACGGTCTTAAAAAGACAGAAGCCCAATTTCCAGGCGTCAAATTAAGTCATATTTGGTATATACAGCATTTTTACAACAACTGAAGCTAACACAATTACTTGATTGTGCTATAAAAGGCCCTATGTGACTGGAAAATACAAAAAAAAAAAAAAAAACCAGAACACCAATATCAGCCATATCTAAAGCATTCATAATTATTTTTAAAATGTCTGATCTGGTCACTTTATCCCCTGAAAAATTCAGATATGGGAAGATGAGCCTGTTGTGTGAACGGGGCCTTTTGCCAGACAGAAAAGCACGATTTGTTCCTCTAAACAGCCTTCTCCTCTGCTCCAGAGGACTGATCTACATTCCCACTTGGTGACGTAAGTTTTGGATGCAGCTGCTCGTCCAGACCTCATTCCACATGGAGTTTGTCTGCAGCAGGCTGGTGACCTCTGAACTCTGTGTGCTGCAGGATCTAGGATCTTATACATACTTAATGGCTTAGTTTTTGACATTAATCTCTTCTACTTTGTTATAACACTAACAGCCGACTGTCAGTTTAGTAGCAAGAAAACTCAAGACTGGACTTTTTGCACAGTTAAAAACTTAATTTAATTATTTGGAGGCTTGAGCAAATATGTGTGTTAAATAAAATAGAGCAGAAATACAAAGGGGAAATTCAGGTGTAACAGAAGCATCAGGTATAAAGGCTCACACAAAAAAGAGTTACTGAAGTGTTAAAAGCAGTACATAAAAAACAATATTGGCAACAATAATAGTGATGATAATATACTGTACAAAACTGTAACAGAAAATACTGTGTGGTTCTTAGAAACACTCGCGATCCAAGGGATGTGCAACTGAGCCGGATCACTTTTACAAAAATGTACATATTGTGCATATGTGTTGAACATTGAAAAAATAAACTATTTTCAGAGAAAATGTGTGGAAATGTTATTTTAAAATGAGTAAGAACTGGGCAGGTGATTGAGCAAACGTCATCATGTATGTAAATACTTAATGATTTTGTTGGAAGCAGCGTTTCTTTGTCCTGACTGATACATTTGTCGAGTATTTCTTTTTATCCCTTTGATCCTTTCCAAAGTCCAAGAAAATCTGACTCAGATATCAGAACTTCATTTAAAGTTAATCAGATTCCTTAAAATTAATCTCAGATTTGTTTGTGTTAAGTTTAATCGTACATGTTGATGTCAAACAGGTTTTAAAACAATTTGTTATTGTTTTGAGATCCACTCTATATCTTTAATATTTACTAAGATAAAGTCATAAAATTACCTGCGAATGCCTGGCAGAGGCCTGTAAAGTAGAAGAGACGTCCCTTGGACAAGAAGATGAGCTGACCCAGAAAAACCAGGAGAGAGACGGACGAAAAGACCACAGACAGGATCATGAGGGCCTGAACGGACTGGAGCCAGTCTGGGAAAAGTGGGGTGGGGGGAGAAAAGGAGTGTAAGATAGAACAATAAACACAATATTTACTCAAAAGAAGAATCTAATTTGTATAAGTTGAGTAATTTGTTGATATGTTACCGCTTTCGGTGGCTGCTGCACAAACCCAGGTTTGCGTGGAGTTCGTGTAGAAGCAGTTGTGCCAAAGGTCAGTGATTTCTGTCTCTGTCCAAACCCACCAGGACTGCAACGATGAAACCAGTTAGTTAAAAGCTCTGGACTGCATGTCTCCTTTTGTAAAAGCAGAATGTATGATGGCGCCCTCTAGTGTTTAAACAAGGATAGAGCACATTCAAACTAATTCTCCATCCAACCTTTTCCAGAGTGGCGATGAAAAGCATGGCCAAGCTGACCAAATGCAGGACAGTCACGTATACCAGCAGACACACCATGGCTGTTTGCAGCAAAATACGTCCTGCGGCCAAGCAATCAAAACAGAAGAAACTATTGTTTAACCATTAAATAATTTCCAGCAGACACACTTTTACCAATGATAAACATTTTATTTTTCCGTGTTTTAAAATGCAGAGAGTAAATTTGTGGCTCCTGAGGAAACTCAGCTCTTTCATCATGCAGCTTTTCACCTGTGATGAGGATCTTATTTATCAAAGCACAAGAAAGAGAAGTGGAGGTGGGGCCACTTTCTGAGGCAAACTTTGTTACTTCTTAAATCATGCAACAAAACATTAAACTTTTTCACCAAAGATGTTGGATGAAGTGATTCTGTTAAGGTTGGTAATCTTCTGCTATATTTAACAACCAGAAGGCACAGGAAATGTTTTTAAGGCTTGTGGCATGCTGCTAAGACTAATTTAATAAAAAAAAACTAAACAAAACCAGGATTTTGATTTATGAAAATTAAGTTAATTAATGTCACATATATTTAAAAGTCCCTGCAGGGGAAGAAAATGCTGTATTCACTCAGTTCTGCTTTTCTGTTGCGAAGGGAAATAAAATTCTATATTTAAATAATGACGTTGTAATATAAATGACGTGTTCAGATGCAGCAAGTAAAATAAGTATTGAACATATCACAACTTTTAATTTTAAACATATTTCTCAATTACACATTGACCCAAGTAGTGCATGAATGAAAAGAAAACAAAATAAATAAAAATCTGAAATTAAGTTATGTGTAACAATATGAAATGACACAAGATTTAAGTATTAAATACTTAATGATTTTCATTTAGTACTTTGTATTTGGTAATGAAAAGCTTCAAAACATGGAGGAACAGCTCTGCACTGAAAGCTCTGCATCTTTTTTGTTATTTTGACCATTTCTCATTTAAATAAATGTTACATTTTTGCTTAGAATTTCAGAGACATGTCAGTAGTTTATAGAATAAAAGAACAAAGTTCTTTCTACTCAAACATTTACCTACAAAGAATAAAATCAGAGAAACCGATTATTTTAAGTGGTCTCTTAATTCTTTCCAGAGGTGTATATTTACCTAGATGTTTTTAGTTGTGATGGATTTAATTATCCCTTCAGCTGCAGTTTGTCCAAAAAGTTGCAGGCAGTGAAAAATAACATTTTGAATTAGCTAGCCAGCCGTCGTCTGATTATGATAAAAGTGAAAGTACCGTAACCACATTTAAATTTAAAACTTGCTCCTCTTCACTTATCTGAAATAAATGCACCATGTTGCAAGTGTACACCCTAATATTTGGACTGTTAGTAAAACCTTTAGCTGATAAAAATGCATCCATTTTCACCCTGATCTCTGGAATTACTTTCAAATAAATCCTGACATTCAGTGTTAATGTTTAGGATGGAATATGGACATAAGCATCAGTTCATTGCTTCTTCTTCTTGCTAAACGTTTACATTCCAGTTAGAACAAATTGATTTGTGATAAAGCAATACAGTACGTTGCCATTGTCAGTGTAACGTATCCACAGTAAAACTCTAGACAGGGAGGCTTGATCCTTCCATGTGCCGTGTTATTGTCAGGAAGTGGTCAGAGGGAAATGTGTTTGAACGACTCTTTGACTATATGCAGATGTAACTTTGGAGTCTTACAAATGCAAACCAGTCATAAATACACAAAACCGTCATTCTACTCGTGTGAAACACTCAGTCCAAAGCTATTTTAGGACATTTAATTACGCCTGCAAGCTCTCTGGTTAACATCTTCATAAAAATATGCAATGATCTATTTTGGTGTATGTAATCTAATGTGCGCCAGGCTGCTGCAAAGAGAAAAACTTACCGTTATGTTCAGAGCAGCAGGATATAAACTCCTGGATCCTCTGATGGTTCAGCTGCTGTTCTGCTGTTTTCCTCTCGTCTTTTTTCTGTGGAGGCGTTTGGGAAAATTAACTTGAAGAAAAGAGTGCAGAGGAGGAATGCAGAGTTGGGCATAGGAGGGGTTCTCTACACCCATTTCCTCAAAAACGTTTCCCTGCCCTCCCCCTAAGAGCTGCGGTCAACAGATTTCTGGTGCTGTGTTGGGCAACTGTACCAGATATATAGCGTTTCCCTGGTGATGCATAAACACACAAATTAATGACCAACACTGTATCCAACACAGCAAAATACTCTTTGTTTGATTTTCCATTGTGAACTGGAAACACAAGGATTGCAAGAGCAGGATTCTACTATTTCTGCAAATGTCTTCTTGGTGTCCGTCCAGCTGTTCATAAAAGCTACAACTTCCTACATGTGGCAGCTGGGAAAGAGACAGGAAAAAGCAGATTACTTTTGATCGCTAATGAGCAGGAAGTCTCAGACCACCCAGAGCACAAAACAACAGCGGAAGAAATTCTGACTTAAATCAAATAAAAGTTTCACTTTTTATTATTTAAGTTTCATTCTTTCTCTCTCTAAACAGTCTTTTTTTTAATTTAATTGACATTGACTTACATTTGGGTGTGTTGATATGCTTGATGTATAAAATTAGCCAATAATATATGATGCATCTCAAGCTGTAAAGAAAATACTTCCAAACTACAACACCAGTGATACAGACAGATTATCCAAAGTATTTAAAAACTGTACTCAAGTAAGAATAGCACGACTTCAACATACTTTTATTCAAAGTAAAAAGTAGCCGGTTAAGAAATTACTCAAGTAAGAGTAAAACAGTATTTGGTAAAAAAAAAAGAGAAAAAAATCTACTTGAGTACTGAGTAACTGATTAAATTATTAATCATTTAATATTTAAAAATTACATCATCAGAGTAAAGTTTAGTGAAGATTTTGGTGTTTTAAGAACCAAAAGGACAATAATTTATCCAAAATCAGGCAAAATACATTTTTTTCCAAGTTTCTTTCAGTATAAAACTTATGAAACGTCAACAAAACCTCCAGCTGTGTGTCTGTGTCTGGTGATTTTCTGGTTAAAACATGTTTGTTCTTCATTCAATGGGAAGAGAAACCAGAATTTTTACTCAAGTAAGAGTAAAAATACTTCAGAATAAAATTACTCAAGTAAAAGTAAGAGGTACAGGTTAGTAAAAATACTCATAAAAGTTTTTTTTTTTCAAATAAGTTACTCAAATAATGTAACTGAAGAAATGTAACCAGTTACTACCCATCTCTGAATATACTGCCTACTCACATCCTTTGTACTTTTCTACATTTTGCCCCTTTACATCCACAAACTTCCATGTAAACAAACACAAAGTCACTCATAACTGTGAAATGTGATTTATATTCAGTGCCCTTTACTGTTTTACACTTAAATCCAGTGGAAGGCACAGAATATAATATAAACATCTTTCATTGTCCCAAAGTGGGGAGGTTTTGGTGTAGCAGCCAGTTAAAGTTAAATTAAAGTGACATTCAAACTATAAGGTAAATGAAAAACAAAACATGAAATAAAAGAACTGAAAAAAGAAAGAAAGAATGTTTTAGGGTGGTGTGTGCATTTTAAATGATATGGCACATTTAAATACTGCTCTGCATTTTGAACTCCAAATGTTTTTAGCTTTCTACTCCTGTAAGGCTAATCTCAATAGTCATAATAGCACCGGTATGATGTAAGGTAATTACAAATGATGCTAATTATAGCAGGTATGTTACACATATAGTGTAGCTGAGGAATGATAAAGTACAGTTGTAGCACACTAACGGCAAATTTACAGTATAGTTATTATAAATAGTGTACTCAGATTAATAGAAATGTGCAGCTGAGTTAAATAATTTAAAAAATGCACAAGATGTGCATGTATCTAGACAGAAAAACGTTACAGACTATTTACAAAACTCAGAAAAACTTTGCAAATATCAGCTGGAATGTGCAGGGAGCAGTGGTGTTACAAAGTCTAACAGCTGCTTTGGGCTGCCATGCAGCAATCTGTCACTGAAGGAGCTCTGCAGTTCAGCAGCAGCTTCTTATTTGGAGTGGGAGACGGTGACGCTATGTAGCCAGAGTCCTACTGTTTCCCACCACCAGCACTGAGTCAAGAGGGCATCCGAGGACAGAGCCTGCCGTGGGCCCCTCCCACGTCCCCGAGCTCAGACAGGTGGTCAGTCCCACAGGTGAGGTTCAGAAAACCTCACCTGCACACAGAGACCCCACTTTCAGGAATCAACGTTAAATGTTTTCCATGTGTTGCTTGCTGTTCTTCTCTGGAAAACACACCAGCTATGAATCTCAGGCTCTGAAAGGAGTGAAGGGATTACTTACATCCACAAGGGGGCGTCCTGAACTGTCTTACACCAAACACTGAGTGGGAAAGATAATTAAACCTAACCATAGTTATTGTTTTAGCATAATGTAGAAAATATGACATTAGTTACACACAGAAAATGTGCATTTTAACTCTATTTGTGGTTTATGATAGTATAAAAATCTAAAAAAAAATAAGCTCTTTGCTTATATTCTGTATTGTTCAATGAACTGAGAGACTGCTGTGATTTTCCCCTCCATGTATGGGAAGCACTCCTGCCATGACGCTGTGACAGAAAGTTCTTAGGGGGTTAACTGTTGTCTTGTCTGCACATTATAAGTTCGGCTTTACTGCTGGATGTTTAAGTGTGCATATTATTCAAACTGGCAACACATCGCCCTGTGCACATCATCCCCACCCTGGTGGCAGCTTTATTCTGTGGGCCTGCTTAGCAAAGACACAATGCTGGTCAGAGCTGATGGGTAATGGAAGAGAAACCTGGACTGGAGCAGATGCTCACTTTCCATCAACAATGAAACAGAACAATGATGTATGTATCAGTGTTCAGAACTAAAAGACTATAGCTGGACCTACACATTATATTTATGCATGAGCTTCCATCTAACTGAGTCTTTTTGCATGGAAGAATGTGGAAATAATAATAATAATAATAATAATAATAATAATAATAATAATAATAATAATAATAATAATAATAATAATAATAATAATAATAATAATAATAATAATAATAATAATAATAATAATAATAATAAAACTGTCTCTTGATGTGCAAAGCCGAATTCAATTAAACTCAGTTCCGAAGAGAGTTTTTAAAATATCTTAAGTATTATCGCCCATCCCTTTTGGGTTCTTGTTTTGTTTTTAGTTAAGTTGTGGAAGAAAAAATAGGTAGGAGAAACGATCAACACGTCACCCAAACAGCGTGACGTACCGAACAGTTTGGTACCCTGTGACGCCTTCAGGGACCACCGGACAAATCACTGCGGTTCAAACTTTATATCGCTCTCTTGCTGTCATTACTACCACAGAACGTGATTATATATACTTTACATATTCGTCTCGTACCATGGTGATGGATTTTAGTTTAGATTTCAAGTTTTCTTGTCATCACCTGGGACTTTTAGGGCTGTAGTTACTAAATCCTACGTTCGGGAGTACGTTGAACGCATCTCTCGGTCCGAGTTTATAACTGTTGACCGAAGGAAAGAGAAATCAACTTCTCTTATGTTTATCGTTCTTCTGAATCTCGGCGTTTGTTAGCATTTTTGTAGTAACTTGGACGTTTATTTTTGTTTGTCTTTTTTTTGGACAATTCCAAGAAAAGGGCGTCTTTGTTTACACACATCACAACTCAAAGTTGTTTCTCGATTCAGGACTGGACTGATGGCTCGAGCAGAGGTACTGAAGATATATTTTTTCTTAATAGCTGGAAGAGCCGAAACGTAAAACTTTTAAGACGCAGCAGCTCTCCTGAAAGCACGGTTCTCCGCAAAAACCAAAACCAAAAACCGATTCACCTGGTGTGAATTCACCGTTGTACTTCGTTTTCGGATCCATCCAGCGGAACTTTGCAGACGATCCCAGCCGCGAAAGAAAACAGCGACTCCAAAAGCTAACAGTTCTCACCGCAGCCCTTAATAGGGCCATCAAAATAACACCATTTTTAGAAACGTTTTTGTCGTTGTTGTTTTAAAAACAAAAATCATCCACGTACATTTAGAAAAACACAAACTTAAAAGTGAAATTGTCTAATCATTATTTAGCAGAAACAAAGATGAAGTATATGCAGTGTTTGTAGTGAAGATATAAACAACAGACGAATGTTTTAGCCTTTAATGAACACAGTAAGAACTTTAAACGTGCATATTTTTGGAGTTTAGATTCAGCACGTTAAATAGTTATTTATCCATTTATGCGGCTTTGCTGTCATATTTATAGGATGTCTGGAGAAGTTTGAATTTTTCTTTTGCATTGTCTAAAAGTTATATCCACCTGTTTGACCATGATCATCCATCTATCCAATTATCTATCAAATTCCTGCTGCTAGCTCAAAGTGAATTTTGTTTTTATATTTTAAAAATGACCCCTGAGAGATTTTTAAATGTGTGCCTGAAAACGTAAAAAAGATTGAAAGTCAAGACCCTATAACAGCATATTTTCTAAAGCGCTTTACATGACTAGAAGGAAAAATAAAACAATAAAATCACATTGCAGTGACAAAATGCAAGGATAAACAATGTTCCAGTTAATATTAATCAAAGGCATCTCTAAGCTAAATGGATTTAGCCTTAATTTAAGGAACTCTGTGTTTAATCGGTTTTCTAGAAGTGTGTTCCAGATTAGTGAAGTATAAAAGCTGGATGGGTCGTTTATCGTCGTGTTTTGGAAGATGTTTATTTCCTTTGTGGATTCCAATTCATTTCAAGAAGCTAAAATCAACACAAGCTCTACAGGCATAAAAGTGCTGCCTATTGCTTCACATAATCCTGTCTGTGCTTCTTCTCCCAGGAGCTGGAGCGGATCGTGACGTGGCTGACTGAGGAAGGTCTTGCACCTGAGGCCTCCAAAGAGGCTCAGCTGGCTTTCCTGTGGCGTACCTTCCTTCACACACGCAGCTGCCTGGATAGCGTGACCAAGGATCTGGAAACAAAACGCTCGCAACATTTCGCAGAGATGGCAGAGGTAGATTATCACTGCTTAGCTAATCGGCGCTGTCTGGGGCTGTAATGATGAGCAAGGCGATCTTT